CTTCTGTGAAGACTGACAGCCTTGGAGACCCTGTGGTGCAGTTCCACTCTGTCCTCTAGGGGCGCTGTGGGTCAGAATTGACTCCACGGCAGTGGGTGTGGTTTGGGCTTTGCTTCTGTGAAGATTGACAGCCTTGGAAACCCTGTGGGACAGTTCCACTCTGTCCCCTAGGGGCGCTGTGGGTCGGATTCAGCTCAGTGGCAGTGGGTTTTGTTGTTAGTTTGTATGTCTTTGATCTTCTTTATGCTTCTTTAAGTCTCGGTTTTCTCATCTGTAAAATGGGGCTGTTAATATACCTACTTCATAGGTTTGTGGTGGGGTGACTATGATGATGTATGTATTTTAGTACAGTGTCAACACTCAGTAAATGTGGTTGCTGTTGTTGATTGTTACCACTTCCCTCGAGTCACTTTCTGGCTTCTCCCCACAGCTCCTTTGTTGTCTTTACCTTTCTCAGCCCCGCACGTCAGTGCCCGATTTTTGGCTTCCACGCTCATCTTACATTCTCCTAAGATCTTAAATGAAGGCTTGGTTTTTCTGCAGACAGGAAAGAGGCTGTCTTTTTCGATAAGCTGAGATGACTTGGCTGAAGTCACACATAGCAAGGATCAAGCAAGAATGAAGTCAGCTTTTAGTGATAGGTTGTCAGTATGTCTTTCCAGGTGTCTGTTCTGGCTTTTTCTTGAGAGAGACACACACAGAGAAAGCAGAGATGTGGCAGAGACAGACAGAGCAGCAGAAAGAGAGGGAGAGATTGAGGGAGGCAGAGAGACAGACAGACAGGGGTACAGACAGAGAGAGAAAGAGACAGGGGCACAGAGAGAGACAAAGGAAGAGACAGAAGATGGAGACAGAGAGACAGAGGGCAGAGAGACACAGTGAGAGGGGGAGACGGGAGACAGGCAGACAGACAGAGGGGCAGAGACAGACAGAGGGAGAGACAGACAACAGGAAGGGAGGCAGAGAGGGACAGGGAGACGACAGGGAGGAGACAGAAGGGTGCCTGTGTCACCTCAGCCCGCAGCAGGTGGCATTCTCTTCGGTTTTCAGTCTTTCAGAAGAACACAGAGCCCTTTTGTTCTCTGCAGTAGGTGCTTTTTCAGGGCCCCGAACGAGATAAGAGCTTCCATAGACCCCATTTCAGGTCCTGGCACAGACACCGGGCTCACGGTCACCGATTCCTTCTTCACCAGGGACAGCAATGACCAACAGTGTGGTTTAAAGAGCATTTAAAATGTTAGGATTGTTTCCTCTTGAAATAGGTACAAGCAGGGTATTCTCAGACACAGGGACTGTTACAGGGAAAACTTGTTACAAGCCAGTTAGGATCCCTTTTTATGAAATCAACACAGGGAAAGTCTAGGTGAGTAACTAAATATATGTTTACTTATTGCAGCTGTTTGTGTCTCCAACTTGCTTCCTTCCAGTAATTATGCACTATTAGTATTCAAAAGTAGTATGCCTTCTAAGTTATATAACTGATATAAAAAATGTATTTAACTTACAAAAAACAACCATTCCATTCTGGACTCTTGGAAAGCTCTGAATCATAAAAATCAGTATAGCTAAAAGTTAACCCATGGACTAGTGAAGGAGCTGTGGTGGCTCAGTGGTTAAAGCATTCAGCTGGTAATCAAAAGGTGGGTGGTTGGAACCTACCAGCCAGTGGCTGAGCGGGAGAAAGGTGTGGAAGGTGGCTTCCATAAAGATGACAGCCTAGGAAACCCTGTGGGGCAGTTCCACTCTGTCCTCTAGGGGCGCTGTGGGTCAGAATTGACTCCAGGGCAGCGGGTGTGGTTTGGGCTTTGCTTCTGTGAAGATTGACAGCCTTGGAAACCATGTGAGGCAGTTCCACTCTGTCCTCTAGGGGCGCTGTGGGTCAGAATGGACTCCACGGCAGTGGGTGTGGTTTGGGCTTTGCTTCTATGAAGATTGACAGCCTGG